AAGGCTGTAAATCTTTACGGGAGCAGAAAGCCTCATCTTTCTCCTGCGGAACAGCTGGTAGTTTCGAACTGCTGACCTTGTGGTTCACAGCCCTATTCTTCTCGTTGTTGTTGTTGTTAAGTGCCATCGAGTCGGTTCCGACCCATAGCGACCCATAGCGACAAGGTTTCCAAGGGTGTAAATCTTTTTTCTTCTCGTAGTCAGTATTAAATCCACTTCGCTGTCTTTTCCTTTGAAGCTCAGGGTTCCAGGATTATCATCTGCATCTGTTTCATTTGGTGTGTCTTATCTTTGTTGTGGAGTCCTGGTGTGGCGCTGTGGGTTAATGCGCCAGACTGCAAAGCCGTTTGAACTGCAAGGTCATCATCAGTTCAAGCTCACCAGCTGCTCCTCGGAAACACTATACAGGGTCGCTATGGGTCAGAACTGACTAGACAGCACTTAATAACAACAACAACATCTTTGTTGTAGAGAACATGTGTAGCATGTCTGCCTAGTGCCCCACCTTTTACCTTGAACTATTTACTGAGCTTTTTAGGTATCCTCTTACATCCATGTGCTCTGGTATAATCTACCAGGCATGAATTTCCTAAAGGTGAGGGTGAGCTCATGGCACTCCACTCTTTTTTTTGCTCCCAGAAAATTTTGTGATCCAGGCAAAGGCTGACTGTTACTTCACCAATGGGACAGAAAAGGTGCAATTTGTTGTTCGATTCATCTTTAACTTGGAGGAGTATGCCCATTTTGACAGTGATGTGGGAATGTTTGTGGCATTAACTGAGTTGGGGAGGCCCGATGCTGAGCACTGGAACAACCGGACAGATATATTGGAGAGGAGCAGAGCTTCTGTGGACACAGTCTGCAGACATAACTACAGACTCGGTGCACCCTTCACAGTGGGGAGAAAAGGTGAGACAGAAGATGGGGTCTGGTGGGATCAGGAATTCGCCATGTAAAACTGGCCTGGTTTTTCTTCCTTATAATAGGCAGCTGTCTGCTTCAGGATTCATGGTTTATGAACAAAGGAGTCTGTGTGCATGTTCTCTTCTCAACAGTAACCTTTCATGATTCTCAGAGGTCTGGTCACTGTAGTCTGTGTCTCAAACCATGAAAGCCTTTAGGGACTTCAAGGATTAATATACTCTCATGGTGCTGGTGGTTATGTGCCGTGGAGTCGGTTCCGACTCATAGCGACACTGTACAGGGTTTCTGAGGCTGTAAATCTTTACGGGAGCAGAAAGCCTCATCTTTTTCCTGCAGAACAGCTGGTAGTTTCGAACTGCTGACCTTGAGGTTAGCAGCCTGATTCATAACCACTACGTTACCAGAGTTCATAGAAGAGGTAATTTAAGAAAGGCTTAAGTCTTTCTTGGGGTATTGGCACATTCAGTTCCCAAGTCTTGAGGCTGAGATTTCCCCACTCTTCTCAGTTCCCACTGGGTTCTGGGAAGATATTAGAGGCAAGGATTAGTCTCTAAAGTAAGTTGATGGTTTTCTCTCACAATGTTTCACTTTTCTTTCTTCCTAGTGCAACCAGAAGTGATGGTGTATCCAGAGAGGACCCCATCCCTACAGCACCCCAATTTGCTCCTTTGCTCTGTGACAGATTTCTATCCAGGGGACATTAAGGTCAGGTGGTTTCGGAATGGGCAGGAGGAGAAAGCTGGGATCCTGTCAACTGGCCTTATCAGAAATGGAGATTGGACTTTTCAGACTATGGTGATGCTGGAAATGACTCCTGAACTTGGAGATGTCTATACCTGCCTTGTTGACCACTCCAGCCTGCTGAGCCCTGTTTCTGTGGAGTGGAGTGAGAGTCAGCTTCTTGTACTCTTGGGGATCAATTCAGAATTATACTAACTTATAGGGGGACTGTGTCATCTCTGTACATTTCTTGGTCACAACACCAGTCCTTTTTTCCGATCTACTGCTCTGGTAATGTAGTGGTTATGAATCCATCCAGCTGCTAGTCTCAAGGTTGGCAGTTCGAAACTACCAGCCGTTCCACAGGAGAAAGATGAGGCTTTCTGCTCCCATAAAGATTTACAGCCCCAGAAATCCTGTGCAGGGTCACTATGAGTCTGAATCGACTCCATGGGACTTAACAACAACAACAACAACAACAACAACAACAACAACTGTAGTTATAGAGCTCCAGAGTCATTGGACTAGGATGGGAGTAAACATGACAGATATCCATCTTGTACCTTCTAGTGTACCTTCTAAATTCTGATGGTGCAGTGGTTAAATGCTTAGCTGCTGGCCAATAGGTCGGTGGTTCTCTGTGGAATAAAGATGTAGCAATGTGAAGGTTGGACTCCTGATGTGGCGCTGTAGGATCAGCACTGGACTGCGAACTGCAAGGTCTGCAGTTCAAACCCACCAGCTGCTCCTTAAAAACCCTATACAGGGTTGCTATGAGTCTGAACCAACTCAACAGCACTTAACAACAACAAGAAGTGTGAAAAATCAGTCTTGAGAACCCTATGAAGGCAGTTCTACTCTTTTCTCTAGGGATGCTATGAGTTAGAACTGACTCCGTGGGGATGGGTTTTTACCTTCCAAGAAAAAAAGAGGTCTGATGACCTCATCATTTTCTTCCACCCTGAGAATTTCACCATCACCTATTTCCTGGTGGTGATTCGGACTCATAGTGACCCTACAGGACAGAGTGAAACTGCCCCATGGGGCTTTCAAACCTGTTATCTTTATGGAAGCAGACATCTTTCTCTGTAGAGTGGTTAGGGTTTGAGCCACTGGCCTTTTGGTTAGCAGTCAGGCTCATAACCACTATGCCAACTGGACTTCTCCCTAAGGATTAGTACTTAGAGATCATTCTTTCAGACTGTAAGAAGTAGTAACAGATGGCAAGTAATTCCATGAGTGCAAGCCTTAGTCTTAAAGAGCCATTTCTAAATTCATTCCTTCTCTGGGCAGCATTGAACTTAGCACTCAGGATCAGCACTGGACTTCGTACCACAAGGTTGGCAGTTCAAACCCACCAGCTCCTCCTGGGAAACCCTATACAGCATCGCTATGAGTCAAAACAGACTCAATGACACTTAATAACAGCAACAGTAGATTCTGAAGAAAATCTGGTGACACAATGATTAGGTGCTCACCTGTCAACTGTTCTCTGTGGGAGAGAGATGTGGTAGTCTGCTTCTGCAAAGATTTACAGCCTCAGACATCTTCTGAGGCTGTTCTACTTTGTGCTATAGGATCACTGTGAGGCAGAATCAACACAGTGGGTTTGTTTGTTTGTTTTAGCAGACTCTGAGGTTTCAAGAAGATGCATTAAATATTTTTACTAACCTGAAGACCTGTTTCCTATAGAAGCTCAGTCTGAATATTCTTGGAGGAAGACACTAAGTGGAGTTGGAGCCTTCCTGTTTGGTATAATCTTCCTTCTGGTGGGGATCGTCACCCACCACAGGACTCAGAAAGGTAACAGGCATATGACTTTGCTCACCCCTGACTTTCCCTAATGTCAAAGATCAAAGGCAGGGAAGACTGATTGTACTTCCCAGGGATCATTGACGTAGTCTTTTTAGAAGGAACATTGGAGGGTATACATGCATATGGAATTCTAATATCGTAGACCATGCTCCAGCCCCTCAGCATAATGATGGGGACCAAATTAGTACCAGTTTGGTTCAATTAGTACCAATTAATTCTAATTGGAGCATTCTCTCTTTCTTTTCAGGAAACATGGGAACTCAGTTGTCTGATGACTAGGTAACATATTTTCTTTTTTGCCTGTAGTTGCCAGATCATTCTCCTTTGATCAAGGAAACACCATTGTGATAAGGAGGCATAGTGCTCTTGTTAAGCGGCACTATCTCTTGAGTCCCTGAAATGGGAGGGTGAGTGACTTATGAAACTATTACCACTGTCCCTGCAGGTTTCAAGAAGTGTTCTCCCACCACAACCATACCAAGGCCCTAACTGAAGCTTCTCCATGGATCCTGATGAAGTAGTGAATGACCTAGACCATACAATAGATAAAGGACATTCGTGAGATCAGCGTTCTGGAAGCAACTCTTTTTCATAATCCTTTGGGAAATCCTTAATTGATTCTACAGGCTTTGTGTTCTGAGATTATTCATCTCTCACTCTTCTGTCTTTCTGCTACTTGCATTAATTTCTTATGACCAGAAATTCCCCTAAGGCCTACCTCATTCCAGTCCCAACCTGTTTACTTTTCTGTGGCCTAGCCTTATACATTGTTACCTCCAAAGTATCTCTGTTCCAGTTGAAGTCTCCACAAAGTCTTCAGAGGACAAATGCTCAGTTGCTGTTTCCTTGTTTGTTTTTTCATACTTTTTAAAAATTGTAAAATAAAAGAGATACAGATAACTGCACAAAATATAGAATTTAATGAGTTATTTAAGGTAAAACTGCTATAATTATTACTCAGGTCAAGAAATAGAACTTTGGAGGTGGGGCTTGATGGCGGCTAGCGTAGAAGTGCAGTGAGGTTCAAGGTCAGCAGCAATACCACAGAATACCAGGCAAAGCAGATTCAGGTCAGAGTTCCAAAATTTGGAACCACATAGGTAAGAATATTTAAAAAGTTTGAAGGCTTATAGCTAGTGGAACTTGTAGCAGAAGTAAGAAATCATGTACTTTTGAATCTGCCAGGCTCTGTGGCCCAGAGCTGACAAATTGGGCGAGACCAAATGGCAAGACCAAGTGGGGGAGCAGACATATCATGGAAAAATGTCTCGGGAACCTTGGAGCAAAGGTGGACAATACACTTTGTCAGTTTTGCTTTTTAAAAATTTTTAAAAATCTATTCATTGGATCCCCACTGTTTGCACACCTCCATTCTGGTGACTAGAGGGGGTGCCCGAGTGAGTGGACACCCTCCACCACCACCACTGGTGGGGTTCTTCTGCCACGCATGTGCACAAATACTCTCAGTCCAAGAGCCGGACCTGAACTGCTTTAAAAAAAAAAAAAAA